GCTGTTCCAATTTCTTTGCTTGAACATTTCTCTGCATTTGGGACAGAAATATTTACAATTCTGTGGATACTGATTCCAGTTTACCATGTGCATTTCCAATTACATGTAGTCAGATATGTGTATCTGTCTGTTGCGAGTTTTTGGTGCCTTATACAATTCTTTCTTTTTACAAGCAATGCATAACAGTAGATAAGCAATAAAACATACTGCTTTTTCTTTAATTTTGAGTTCTGTGGCTTTGAACCTTTTTTATTTATAGCACACCCATTACAGTTAAGACTGACCTGCATTACCAGAGAGAAGTCCCCATAATGCTCTGATACTCTTGGGATTTTTTGAAAATGGCAAAGTTACTTTATCAGAAATGGATCGTCATGCTTCCGGTAATAGTTATCCTTAAGCAAAATTATTTAAACTTTAATTGCTTCAGGGAACAGCTGAGTTGACTCAAAATTTATTTTCCAATGCACAGTGTGTAACAATGTCTTTCATATTCCACATAGTTTTGCAAGCATTGTTTACACAGTGCTAATTACACTCAAGAGTGTGTAATTAAATAGAAAAATAATGTACACAATAATGAAAAAAAATATATTTTTTGTCCATAATGCCTAATATTTATATCATACAGAAGAAGAATTATTTGTCTAAATTGATACTGAAGCTATCTGTAAAAATGTCATTTTCTGTATTTATAGGCAGAAATTAGAGAAGAGTGAGGATTGAGTAAACTAAGAGAAGCTGCAGTTTAGTTTAAGTCTCTGAAAATTTCCTTGAGCTGCGTTGACCGCCATTTTTCTTAGCATATTTGTGTAAATTGTTCGGACAAGTGCTTGCTTTGAATTAGGCAGCTAAGAGTTTAGAAAGACATTATTGCTTATTGAATAGTGCAAAGCTAAAGAAGATAAGAATCAAAAGTATTTATTTGAAAACACTCCATATTTGGCCATTGGAAAGGAGACAAGTATCAAGAAATCACTGTTTCTTGAACTAGCTTAATTCTGCTCCATATTCTTCCAATATGAATTGCAATCCAATTTTAATTTTAAAAACATTTTGTGTCTACTATTACCTTAAAGTCTATTTGTACTGCAAGGTGTCTGTTTATCACACATTTTCCTTGCCTATTCATTGACATACCAGATTTTTTAACACTGTTCATATGCTTTAAGCTGAAACTGCCAAGTTTCTTAAATTACCTCCAAGTATACTTTTGCCTAGGAGGCATTTTAAGTGTTAAATACTATTGTTCTTTCTGAAAATGAAGAATTTTTAAAAATTTCTAGTTCTCTAGATTTCATTGGGGTTTTTTTTGGTTTTTTTTACTATTATGTGTTATGGTCTAATTCTTCATATATTTTACTACATTTTGGTTGTTTGCCTGCTTTGTTGCAGGCTTGTACATAACCTTCCACCCAGATACTTGTCAAGTCCAGGACTTGCACTTCAAGTGACTTTCAAGTGTTTTATTTGTGAATTTTTTGTACCTCAAGCTTAAGCATTCATCAGGTGATTCACATCCTTCTACTTCAGAATTTTTTTTTCAGACTTTTAGTCTGAGTTAGGTACTTAAATATTCTTCAATACATGCAAGATAAGATTAATTTAACTTCATATGTTTAAAGTATAAGGTTATCATCCAGATTCTCTGTATGTAGGGATATGTATCTGTGGATGAGGATTTCTCTGTATCCTAAGATCTTTACTGATTTCTAGAAAATGTATTAGTAAATACTTTAGAGTTGAATCTTTTAAATGGCCAAAGTGAAATGATTTGACTTCTGCACATAGAATAGGTATTGGCTAAAGATCCATATGGGTGAATTCATTAATCAAAAGCATTCTTCATTTCAATTTTAATTGCTCTTCTTGATAATACAAAACCTGTTTCAAACAGCCAGAGCCTTGTTTAAATCTTTGAGCAGTGTGAATATTAATGTTCAGGGATGCTTTAAGATTTAGAACAAATCACAGTAAACACAAGGTATGTAAACTAGAATTTAAAAAGAATGCACAGCAGCTATGCATTGTGCCATTGTCTTGTCAGCTGAGTATATAGCATTTCCCTAAATTGTGTGTCAACAGTAAAAATTAGATGGCAAAGGTCATTAGGTTTTCCTACAATATGAGCCGTATTTTTTCAGCAGACTCTGTACTGTAGTTAATTGAGATATAGAATCTCCTATTTATATTTGTAATATTGTTTTGTTCTTGAACAATGCGTACGAGAAGTGTAATAAGTCCTGGATTGATAAATTCACTTAGAGATACACAAAACCTGCAAACTGAAGCCAGCATGAGAAGCAAGCATTTCTGCTGAAGTCCTTTTTCCTTTAGACACGAGTAAGTGCATAAACACACATACACACTCAGATTTAGCTGCACTAAATGTATTTAGTCTTTTAAAAACCTTTTAAAAAACACCAAAACCCACTCACTTCTGCAATCCTTGTTTTATATTATTACTACAACAGTGTAACAGTAAATGTTACTCCAAAGGTACTGGATTATCTCTGTTGGACTTAGTGGACTTTTGTCAAAGCTTCAGCATCACAGAGCAGTGCATTATTTAGTGACCTTCTGACCTTGTGATCACTGAAATTGATTTAGTTTTGTTAGTATGTGTGTGGTTCAACACTCTGACCTCTTCAGCCACTACCTGAAAAATACTAAGCAGCTTCCAAAGAGTATGATACAGTGTGAATATCTTTTAAGGTAGTACTGATGCTTGAGAATTTTAAACTAAATCATTAATATTAGAGTTATTTCCTTTTCAAAATGTGTTTTGAAATAAAAACTGAAATCTCATACTCTGCAACAGTTTCTGTCTACTGTTTTGTGTTGTTCTAACAGTTTTGGATTTCTCTTTGTAAAATTTGACTAATGTCTTCCAAAAGTACATTAGGCAATATATCAGTCAGACTGTCTCCTCTCTTTGCTTGACAAATATAAATGTTTGTGTGCAAATATTACTTCCATAATTAAGAGGAAACATATTTGTTCTGTGTTTGCAAAAGATTTATTTCTATTAAGAAATTAAAATTCTTTCTTGGTATTTCAAAGGTAAAATTAAAGTACTTCCCTTTTTTGGTTTGTTTAAAAAAGCATTTGTGAATAAGAAAGTAAGTTCTCAGTATTAATTTTTATTTGGTTTATATTTCTTCCCATTAGATATATTAGGACAGTATCATGACTACATTTAAAATTTGTTGGTTTTGAAATTTTCTATTTAATTTTTGCAAAATAGTTTTTTTCTTCTGTACTGATTATGAACTAAAGTCAGCATTTTTAATAGATTTAGCATGCAATGAAAAGTAAAATAGTATTGCAAGTATAGCAGCACTTGGTAACAGTATCATGTATTTTTTTTGCCAACTGTGACTTCTCCCTGCCCTGATACTTTCTGCCATTTTTAATTTGAATGGGAATGTATTGCTTGTCCTATCTTTGTAACAGTAGAGTGAGACTAGCAAAGCTACCAGTCATCTTCAGTGTATATTGAGTAATAAATGTCTAAATTAGGAAATAGGAAATTTCCTGCAGGAAATGAGGGGCGGGGGATTTCAGGAGACAAAGTTTTCTTGCACCTTCTAATTTAAGACAGATTGGTTTGCTTTGCAGCCCTAACATACTTTCGTATGACCTTAAAGAAGCATGCAAAGTTTGCTACACTGTCATTCCTGTTTATTCCTGTTGTGACCATCTTCAAATGAATTAGTCAGAAATCAGTGATCATATTATTTTTCTCACAGTGTTTTTTCCCACAATGAGACCTCAGGTTCTCTTAGAGTCAGTAGTCAAAAAACCACAACACTCAGATTTCTGGGGTTGAGAATGTAGCACTGGGTGTTGCATTTTTCATAGTAAATCATTTAAAAGCAGATTGAACTGGCGGGGGAGAGAGGGGTGGAAGAACAAAAGAAAAAAGGTTCTTGGTTTCTATCAGACGTAAGCTTGAAGTTTTCATGTGAGTACATCAGTCTCTGGTGTAAGCTTTATTTTAGGTACACAAGTGGAAAACATAAAATGTTTGAGGTAATCCTGCATCTCATGATGTTGGCCAATGTGGCTTTGTGCTAAAACAGTGGTCTGGAACAACACAACCACCAACTTCCTCCCAGTACATTAAACCATTAAATGCATCTATATAAGCCAGTTTTCTGCAATTCGTTACTTTTCTGCTTGGTGGATGAATGCTCTGGTTGTGTGCAGATTCGAGGCCACAAGCTGTAGCATCCATTTCTGACAGATTGGATCAGGGATATGCAGACCCTGTGTGTACAGCCCACATGCAAACCAAATGCATTTCCTATTTCCTGAGAGTCGTGGATGTGAAACTGGGGAATACCTCTGCCCTGTAGCAGGAGCTGAGGTCCATCAGAGATATTATTTGCAGTTCTGCATTTAAAAAAACACTTTATGTGGTAGTGTGCTATGCCCCAAAGTGAATCCTGATGGTTTAAAACATGTCTATATGTGTGTGTGTGTGTATATGTGTTCCCTTTTGGTTAACAAATGCTTATAGACAATAAAGACACAAAACACAATACTGTATTTGAAACGCAAAAGCGTGCTTAATTTGTTACCCAAATCAATCCAACCAAATACTTAAAACCAAGATGTGTATGATGTATTAATATATTTCCATATGTCTTTCTGTTTGTATACAGACAAAATTAATGTATTATATCTAAATAAACACATATTTCCCTATTACCCCATGTCAGTTTTATAAAATCAGTTAGTGGAAGTTGTGTTCAGCTGGTATGTAATATCAGGTTGCACAGAAAATTATTTATTCAGGTTGTTCCACTGGTCTTGTCTACTCCTTTCCATTGTTGGTGTGGCTTGATCCTCAAGCTATTTTACATTCTAAGTCAGAAATGCTTACACTGAGTTTATTATAGATCAACAGGAATGTTGATTTCATTGTAAGTAATGTGCTTTCTGTGACTGATGGTTCTTTGGTTTAAAGTAGTTGTTATTTGTCACGCTGACAGGTACACCTGCTGCGAAATGCTGGCGATGAAGTTACCATCACAGTTCAATACCTCAGGGAAGCTCCATCATTTTTAAAGCTCCCATTAGGTAAGAGGAAATAAGTGAATAGGAGTAATTTGTTTTCCTCTTTGCAGTATTCTTGTAATGAGCTGACAGTGACAGAAATAGAAATTCAGTTCTTGAGTGCTTTACAGGAAGAAATAGAAAATTGTCTGTCTACTTTGCTGTTTAACATATAAGAATCAAATGCATACTGCCTTGCTACTTATGTATAATGTATTCAAAATAAAACTGAAAAAAATCATTAAAATGCAGTATAGTCATGGGTGATAGCTGAAGGTTTTTTAATAGAAGCTTTGCCTGAATATAATAAAATAGTGTTTGCAAACATTTGAATCATACATTTACACTGAAAGATATTTGAGGACAGTTACCAAACAAATGGATAACATTAATTACATATTTTCATAAATTAATTTACTATTTTGATTGGTTTTGTCAGCAGAATTATGTCGGCAACTGAGTAGTGTAACAGTAGCAATATTAAAAATCGTATGAAAAGTATAAATCAGGGAATTTTGGGGCTCTTTTGGTTAGCAAATAAAATATTCAAGTTGCACAGTTGTGATCAAGCGAGTAGAAAAGTGTTCATAATAAATAAGTTTATTTCATCAGATTACACAAATTTGCACTTGTTTATATTAACAGTTTGTTTTCTCTTCAAAATAAGCAAAAAGTTTTGAAATGTATCACATTCTTTGGATTGATTTTTATTTAAGTTGGGCTCAACTATTTACTTGTTTTTTTCCTAATTTCAACAGACTCACAGGTGTCATAGTTTGTATCTTGCTATTACAAGAGTGTCAATCATTTAATCATTTTTATATCTGTCAAAAGCCAGCTTGACAGGCCTCTATTAAGCTGAACTATACATTTTATGCTAAAACCTTTTTTTCAGTGCTTACTGCTTATCATTTTCGTTTGATAATATATGGTCATTGTTTCTTAAAATGAATCTTCAGGTTTGGTCTTCCTACTTTTCCTATTAGATCATCAGACAACTCTAAAATGATATTGACAGTGCCTTGGATAACTGTGTCCAAGCTTAAACATGATTTTGGCAATCTAGTAGCATCTTATCAGTAGTGTCTGTGTTATTGGACATATTCATTTGTGACTATGATAGTCCTACTAGAACTTGTATCTCATCTTGTAGACTGACATCACATACTTGAACTGTATTGCCTGTCTTTGTTTAACCTTAACTAAGAGCCAAACTCCCACTCAGACACTCTCTCACGCCCTGTTCTTCAACAGAATATGGATGGAAAATAGAACAAAAAAGCTCTTAGGTCAAAAGAGATTAGCTATGAATTACCATCATGGTCAAAGCAGAGGCAAATGGGGAAACTTAGATAAATGTATTGCCTATTAAAATAGATTCAGGCAATGAGAAACAAAGACAGATAAATTGTCCATCACCTTCTTGATTGATCTTGAGATTCATTTGATTTTTGAGTCACTGTTTTCCTTACTATTGTCTCTGTTCTACTGCATTTTACCCTTTATTAAATAGTTTCCCAGAGGTGCTACCAGCTCAGCTGCATGGCTCAATGGTAATGTGGGATCTGGCTGGAACTGTCTGTGTCTGGCACAGGGCAGCCCCAACCATTTCCCACTTCTGGAGACATTCCATCCCACAAACCCTTGCCACTAAGACCTAGTACACACTCTACATGAGCTGGCTGCCACCTTCACAAAGTAGTTCACATAGGTACAGGAATATTGGTGCCCTCTTTCTACATCATGGAGAACTTGGCCATGAGATACTTCAGCATTCCTGTCTGGGAGGCTGAGATCATGGCGCTGCTTCCATAAAGTGCTGTTTCTAGAAAGGGAAAGCAGTTATCATCAGGGGGGCCATCTCCCATCTCAGTGTGACCAGCTAGCAGTATTTGGGGCCTGCACCTGATTACTGTAGTGCAAAGAAAGCCTTTTCTGGAATAGGGAGGACAATGCCATTTTAGACAAGCTACCAGACTATCAGTGAGTGCAGCAGTGCTTCTGAAATGAGGTGTCTTGTGTACAAACTGCTAATTTTGGGCAGGTTATCAGACTTGATTCCTCTATGCAGAGCATGAAGAAATTTTTGCCAAGCATTACACTACCCTACCCAGTCCCATGCATGACCCCAGCCTTACACCACATGCTCAAATAAAAGAACTTGCTAGCTATGATCAAACATGTGAGGAACTTAAGAAATGGCCCTTCTGAACTGAACCTGGATCTCCACAAGAGCTTACATGTGCCTCTCTAGAATGTTCTGTGTAGCTATTCAAAAGAGGCTGAAACCAGCGTCTGTGAGTTAAACGATCTTTGGTAAATTGCTTGCTATAAATATTCTTTCTTGTGGTGAGAAAATAAGCAAATAAGGTGGATAAAGTTATGGAGAATATTTCTGATTTAAGAAAATAAATAAACTGAAGTTACAAAGAATAGCACCCCATTTCAAGAAGAGCTTTTCAGAATTCCATGCACAAAAGGGAATTCCAGTCATGAAGCATCACATGACACATTCAAAAAGCTAAGTAGCAATTCCATTATGCAATAAAGAAATTTGCAAATCACACTGCATGCAGAATTAAAGTACATACATGCATAATTCTGAAGTATATTGGCTTTTCCTGGCATCCCAGAAGACTCAGGCACTTGGTCCCCTACCTTCCAACATTTGGTCAGACCAGCTGCTGTGCTGGCAGTTTTAGTGCTGTGGTACGTTCACTTCAATTGCAATCATACTGTCTCTTCCCATTAACCCATATCATCACTATGAGCACATCATCAGGAGTAGCATCTGCCTCCTCCCCTGCTTCCTTGTCATATGTTTCCCTTCCCTACACCATCTCATGTCATGGCAAAAGCACAAGATTCCATAACACGGAAATATTTATCAACAGTTCTCACAACATATTTCTGTCTGTTAAATTCCTTCGTTATTGCCAACAAAGATTACAAAATTTGGCATGGGTTTATTTGTGGATACTGATAAAGTATCATTTAAGGATGAGACAAGGACTGCTTGTTTCTGTATTTGGAGGCAGTCCCAATCAAGGGTGATATGCCAGTATTGATCCTTGTCTCTTTCACAGCAGATCCAGGACACTTTGCACTCACTAGACTATTAAAACTGTCCATAATAATAAATTAAATAATTCCAACAAATATTCTCTGCCACAGTTATTTCTCTAATCAGCAATTTTATACAATATTGCAGAATGCTTGGCAGAATTTTACATAGGGCAAATAGTTATTTCTCAAAAAACTATCAGGCCTGGATCAGAATTGTTATGGACCATCAAGGTCTGCTTCACTCAGTTGTGTAGCTCCATGGCAAGGATAATTCCTCACCACATGGCTGTGGCTTTCTGTAATGTGTCTGCCAGCTAGAGAGAAGATAGATTTGTCTTTCTTGAAGCCAAGACAAGGAATTTTAGATTTTTGAGCTGGGTCAGAAAGTTAAAATTGACTATGAGGCTATATGTTAGCCTGTTACAGAATTATTATGGCATCAGCTCTTGGGTCTTGTCATTAAGGATTCTCTAGATCTACATTCATTACCCACCCCAGATGGGTAAGCAGCGCTTATAGGACCCATTTAAGTAAGATTCACTGCTGCTAGGAAAACTGAGGACATTTTCTGGTAAAACAGACTTTTTTCAAAATATTTCTGTTTGATAGTTACTCCAAATGATCAGCATATTCTGAATTTAAAAAGCTTACAGTATAATTAAAGATCATCAAAAATGTTTTCTTTGATTGTAATTCTATGGCTATCCTAGAATGAACTTTTTTGTATCTTGGAGGTTGCCTGTGCATTGATCAGCAAGTTCAACACACAAGTTTTTATTCATGTGCAATAGATCTCCAGTATCATTCAGAAATGTCAGTCATAAGACAAATTGTTGTTCATAATAAAGTCTTGCTGTTTGCTGTACATTGTTCTGCTGTTGTGTGTTTTGAGGGTTGTTATTTAGAGATTTAGTGTAACTCACTGACTGAAATAAACTACTTCCTGTTGATGGAACTGTTGAAGTCTAGAACTTTAGTAGAGACTTTTCTAGGTGTAGAAAGTATAAGGCTTTTAAAGTTAAAAATAAAATCTAGGATTTCTTAAATAGTAAAATAACTGCTTTAAATTGAAAAATTTGGTAAAAGTATTATAAAAGTATTTATAAACAACTCTTACCTGTACCACTGAAAATGAGTTCTTGTGTTAGGTTCAATGTCAGCTAACTTGCTGATTCCTTGAGTTACTGCTGGGTCTCCAAAACCATCTCTGAGCCTTAAAAAGTTTATTTCCCTCACCTCGGAGTCCTGCCTAGCTTTTTTGTGCTATCCACAAGGGTATTTCAGTCTCCTGTGTGAACTGCAGACTAGTGTCCTTGCCATCTCTACATCTCTCTGACCCCTTCTTATTTCACAGGGTATGTTGTGGTTTTCTTTTTCCTCTGAGCATACACGCCTATTGCTCAGGTAAAGATTGGGCAGAGATCTTTTCCTCTCCCACAGGATCTTTGCTAATCCCATCTTCCCAAAAGAGCAAGAATACCAAAGCTGAGAATAAGCAAATTAACAGATGATGCCTGTCATAGGGTAGGTTTGTATTTCTCTTAGGCTGATTGTCTTTGGTTTGGATGGGATCACACATTGAGGCAGTAACAATTGCTGGAAACTTCACAACATCAAAAATGCCTTTTTTCATGGCATCAGTACCCAATAGAATGCTGTAGCTCTGCTGGTCAGAGCATGGTGCTAATAACACCAAGGTTGTGGGTTTGCTCCCTGTACAGGCCATTCACTTGAGAGTTGGACTCAGAGATCCTTGTGGATCCCTTCTAACTTGGAATATTCTGTGATTTCTGTGATTATGGCCATGGAGTGGTAAATTATCTGTAGCAGATGTTTTGTTTAGCAAAAGCATTTTGATAGTCTTTCTTGAAGTAAGGTTCCAGAGTTTGCACTAGTACCTGACACTTGATTTGGAGTTTCATCTACTTAAGCAAAGGCTGCAGTAGCAGATAGTAGGATCATACTGTGTTTTGTCCTAAGAGCAGGAACAGCCCTGATTGCTCTAGGGCTGCCATGTGGGAAGGCAGAGTTCCTTTCAGGAAGGCACTGCACTTTCAATGAAAGCAGCTGAGCATTTGCAGTGGGAACTTCTAAAATGATGAATGAGGCCATGACAGAGTAGTCTATGAGTAAGTGAGGCAGAGACAGCAGGGAAGAAACTAAAAGACTTGTGAACTTGTTTACAGTCAAGTGATGGAGGTGGCATGGCCTGAGACAGGCTGTGTAGCTAGGAACACACAGAAAATGGAAGAAAGCTGCTGAAAAGTAAATCTGCTGGGACACTGTAGAGGAGGGAAATTTCTTTCTTAACCTTTTATTCCTAGCTTTCCCATGAGATGGATGTAAATTTTCTCTACTTAAAAATAAACAATTATTCTAATGTAGTATTCTGTCTTAGGGTAAAACTTGGATTTAAAGATTTGTAAATACCTGAACTCATGTCTTTTGGTATGCTCAGATTGCTGAATAAGTGGGATATGTCCACTTTCAGAATCTGATTGATTCATGAACCTGTGATGGTTGTCTACTGCTGGAGACAGTCAGATTTCCCAGTGGGCAGACTCTTCAGTGGAGAATTTAATGCCAAGTTTTTGGTTTTTTGGGTTTTTGAATTTTTTTAATTAAAAAAATTAGAAATTTTCTTCTGTTCCATTAAGTCACTGTAGTTGTCTATGTCTAAACATAAATTCTTGTGGCTGCTGTACATATATAGTAGCTACAAAACATTGTACTTAATAGAGTCGGTGGTGGTTTAGACCCATAGGAGCAAAGCATAATGACTCCTGCTGACATGACCTAGTACCGTACAGAAAGGACTCCAAACAAAAACATGGTGAAACTCCAGAATTCAGGCTACAATTCTGAGACCTCAGCATTGAACTGACAGGTAATGGAAAAAATGGAATTAAGTTCTGTTTTGCTAGATCTTCCAGATATATGGAAAAGATACATACAAAAATATATAACTAAGAATGGCTTTTTGACTTCCATGATGTTAGACTTGACTAACTTATTAATGTGAGATGGTTTACAGGCAATTTCAGGTGAATTCTTCAGATGGATAAAAGAGTTTTCAGTGATGATGAGTATAGTGCTGTGCAATTGATTTTATGTGAATTACTGATAAGACCAAGTGCTGTCTGACAGTAATTGTATATTATTAGTGCTATTTGTTAACATCTTACATTTAAGCAGAAATTATAAAATGATGTGACTTTGTGCTGTTTCTATTACTATATTTTACAAAAGTATTAAGCTTTCCTGGATTCACTTTTAACTACTAAAGTAAGATCATAATACATGACTGCTAAAAGTAGAGGTTTTAAAGACTGTAACTGTGTAGTCTTAGAATATTGACATAGTATCAACAGTTCAGGGTGATTCTTTGCTTTCAATTTCTGAATTTGACAAGGAACATATTTTTTAAAAATAATTGGCATTTTAAGGAAAAGATATATCCAGCAATAAAGTGTATGTATGTGTCCAGTTACTTGCCTGAGAGTTTCCTATTCTCTTTGTTTATAAATTCAGTCCATAGTTATACTCTAAGGTGAGATTTCCAAGAATTGATAGAAAATTTGTCTTTAAATTAATAAATGCATTTTGTGTAACTGAACTTGTTACTTGGTTTTGAATATATTCTCAGTGAAAAAAGGCTTAATCCTGCAAACAGTTAAACATACAAATAGATCTCATGAGCACAGACCCTCTCAGATGGCATCTAGATATCTTTTTTCTCTCTAGACATTAAGTATAGCATATGGATATTTAATTGTCTGTCTTTCTAAAATACAAATAGTATTTCTGTCTTTGGTGAATTATATTAAAAATTCTTCCAGTGTTTTACAGCTGAGTAGATACTGTCTGATGTATGCATTTTTTTTCACATCAACAGTTATTTTTCTTGATCTGATTTCCAGGTTCCCCTGGACCATCCAGTGATCACAGCAGTGGAACTTCATCACCTCTCTTTGACAGTGGCTTACATTTAAATGGAAACTCAACTAACACGGTAAGCAAGTGAATAATAAAAGCATGGTGGGTATAAGCTCTGTAAGTTCTTTTCCCATTTTGTGCTTCAAAATGCTGGAGTAAGACCACCCTAGTTTTGTTCTTGTTGTTTGCTTTGATTGATTTTTAAGTGCTTATACGGTAAAATTCTGTACTTACAAAGTCCTGAACATGTGGCCCTGAACAGCTAGGTTTTTACTCTGAGACAGCTGAGAAGCTTGGAAGAGTGAACAGAGTAAGATTTAATCATTATTGGACACGAATTCATGTGAACTTCTGTCATACTTTGTTGAATTGTAGCATTATACTGTTGAATTTAATCCAGCTGGAGATGCTGAAATGCAGGTAGAATTAAGAACATAATTTAAAGTTTAATTCTTGAAGCAAACTTTTTAAGTAGGAAAGATAGGGACAAAAAGGGAAAGAAATAAAAGAGGGAAGAAAAAAGTCTCTTTCTTTAGCCCAGAGGATATTCAGTTCTTTTTTTCTGCAGTGAACAACTGTGATTAAATTAATTGTAGCATTGTGGAGAAAGAAAAAAGTTCCCTTCTCCAAGAAAAATGGTAGTCACCAAAGATGATAGGATGTCTTAGTAAGCAACAGTGCTATCCTTTTAGTAATGAAGATTGAAGATGTAAATACTAGTTGTACAAGTTGTTGATCTTCATGCTCAAAAGCCTGTTTCACACCTAAAAATCTCAGCTCTAGTCTTTCCATTGGATTATATAGAAACAATACCCACTGAATGGACAGAAGGCTTCTCTGTTTTTCCTTTTCTTCTAAGACAGTGATATCATTGTCTGATACTGACTGTACTTCTCTCAAGCTTTGCACTTCCTTGAGCACTCTCTCTATACTACTCCTTAAAGTTTATTTTCATCTGCTAAAAATATATTCATATATGATAATATAACTGGCATTATGTACAGTAAGTAAATAAATAAATAGAAATATGCTTTTCTGTCCTGATATCTGATACCTTAGTGTTTGGTGTCCAAACTGGTCATAGATACAAAAGGTTTCATGTTCATTTGTTTGCACTTATCCAGATTATTATTACCTTTAACTGCCTTGTACTGTTGTCTTACTAAAGAATCCAAAGCTCAGAGTTCAGCGTTCTGCAATGTTTGTCTGCCAAGCTCTCTGCAGGCAAAGAAAGTCCTTCCTGCAAAGAGCCTGCACTACAAGAAAAGGGCTATGGCCAGTGATTGCATTAGCACATTTTAGTAAATTATTGCCTACTAAATGCTAGAATGAGTGTATTAATTTTTAATAATCATTATGACTGCTGTAGGAATTGCACACTTTGAACTTCTCGTGTTAAAAAAATATAAATATGTGGCTGGGGTTTTGTAGTAGACTCGTAACAGAGTAATTTAGAGTTAATTACCAAGATAGCACACAAAAGACTGGGTATAATCTCCAAATATAAGTGGAAAAACAGAAATTAAAAAGGAGTAATAGTCAGGTACTAGGTTGATTTTATACAACACTTAATTTTTCTGAAGCCTGACATAAACTCATGTGGAGAGCTATGTATACAACAAACACTATAACCTAGAAGTGGAATAAACAGGAAAATCTGTATCGTAGCCCATAGAAGTCATGATCTCCCTTCACAGAAAACAAAATGAAATCTTACTGTGAAATTCAAAAGCAAGGCTCTAAATATTTTGAGCAGGAATGACTGGATTTTGAGATGATGCTCTGTATGATCAAACTTTTCTCAAACTAAGCTGTGAGTGTAGCTGAGCTTCATATCTTGAAAAGTTGTTGTGAATGTGTTTCAGCTACCATCTAGTGAGAGCTTCTATTTTATTCAATTAAATATTTTCAGTTTTATGGTAAAGTAAAAACAGAACTGGCATTTCCTGTAATGGTATTACCTAATAAGGCTAATGATATTTGAATCCTGTTCTTACTTTGCCCTGTTAGGGGAGATCTGACTCACTTTGAACACTGCATCTTGCAAGTTTGTGTTGCCGTTTTATGTACTTTCCTAACCACACTCAGGTCCATGCTATAATAGACAATGCACCTATATTTTAAAGTGGAAATTCTACTCCAAAAAGCACACCATGTAAAGGAAAGTACAGGAATGAGAGCTGAGAATTACTGTTACACCAGTTTTACGAAGCTGTCATTTTGGATGTCTTCTGAAAAACAGTACCAAGGCACTACAGCTGGCTTGTATAATAGAGGTGATAGTTTAGCCATCTTAGCAGTGAGCTCTAGCTGTCTAATATGATTGTACCATTTTCAGTTCTGGTGTTATCTTGCCTCTATTAGATCTATCTCTGTCACCTGTGCTGTGAAGCATCTGTTGTATGTGATGTGATACCATCTTCAGGATTTATATACATGTTTTATAATATCAGTGCAGTTTGCAGTACAGAACTTTAACAGGTTTCTCTGAAACCCGGAGAAATGAGCTGAAGTGCTCTCTTCACACCTAATTATTTTGTGCTTGGGCACTGTGACAAATGCTACAGGGTTTGACAGTGGCAGTTACATTCATCTGTACCTTGTAAGTGGTTTATTGAACACAATGTAAACTTGCAGAGGGGAACATGAAACATACAAAGGAGATGGTCTCAAGGCTAATGAGGTTGTTTACTTGGAGAGTTCTAACTCTAAAACAATGAAAAAAGTGCTGTAAAGACAGCATGTCCAAATGTCCTAGAGATTCGGGCCAGCTCCCTGGAGAAATTGGTGGTGGAAAAAAAAAATACTGCAAATAAAACAAATTTCTGTTTTAAGACACCATGGGATAATACAACAGTTACAATGCAAAGGCATAATATACTTGGTTTTCATTTATTTGAGATTCCAGCTTCCTGGAATTGTCTAAAAATTATATTCTAACAATTGAAGTGAGACTAAAGTAAATTGCTGTTTTCTATATGTCCATGTAATTTAAGAACTCTTAGTTTAATTTTGATAGTGTATGTTAAGTATAGTTGGTTAGATGAAGCTAAACAGGCATTAAATTTTTCTAAATTGCTTTAAAATATTTTTTCTTTGATGCCATTGTTTCATATGCTAAATTAAACAGTTTTGCTTTAGAAAAGACATTTCCTACTTCATCATCAAGTTTTTTTAAAAAGAAAAAAGTACAAATGCTCAGCTCTTGATGGGACCAGTAGAATGCTACATCTTTAATGTCTATGGTAGTCCTAGTTCCAGAGTGAGAAAATGATAATGACTCAATCCTGAGCACTAAACAGCAAAAAGGGAAGAGGATTCAAGACAGGGAGGTGGACACCCTTTTTCTGAGAGTAAATATATTCTGATGGATACTTTAGGGGAATGTATGACCAGAATATTGAATTGCAATTGAATGGATGCCCTACGTATGAAAGCTTCAATGCTATTGCTTTTTTGAATATTCCTGTAATATCTTCCATTTTAGTATAAAATTACACTACTGACTGTTATTAAAATTTATTTTATTATATAGTTTTTGTCATCCTGTAGCTCGCTTTAAGAAGAGAAACTTCAGGATTTCAGTTCAATACCTTTTCTATTAGAATGATTTCACAAGTGATACCAGTTGCCTCTGCCAGCTCTTGATCTGAAAATCCATGATTTTCTCATGGAATATGAAAGCAAGGTAACTTTGAATTGACATCCAGTTCACAGTGTATTATTTGGAAATGTAAATTCATAAAATGATTAATGTAATAAATACAAAAAATATCTCACTTAGAGGTACACAGTGGCTACTGTCATGAAAGTAATCGTCACCATGTCTTTCATTTTTTGCTGAAGAGAAAGGTAAAACAGATGAACACAGCCAGCTGCAGTTAAATAATTTGGACTGCTGCTGTGCTGAAGACCTTTATGGAATGAGGTAAACACACTGCAAGTAAGTTTTTGTCAATTAATAAAATATGAAGTGACTATCCCTTTTCCACCTCAGTGAAAAATAATCCAGATTTTCTGTTTCTGATTATACCTCTCAGAAATCGTAGCAATAGAAGCTGGAAGAAAACTTTTAAATAACACCTATTTCATGACAACAGAATTGTAAGGAAAATATTTTGGATTGAAATGTTTGTGTAGATGTAGCTGTACAGAACAATTAGAATGTTTTTCTAATTGTGGTTAGAGTTGATTGGGAATTTTGCTATGACATTAATGAAGCGAATAAAAGGTATCTTTAAAGGTATTTTTTACTTTTATTAATGTCCATGGTCACTGCTAATCTTTCAGCAGAGTTATTTCTTCTCGTATTTAACATTTGATTGATAAGGTTGATCATTTCTTCTGCACAGAAATTTTCCAGTTTGTTAGGTATCTGGTTTTATGTCTTAATTATACATATTTTCCCCATACATTCACATTTGCATGTGAATACATTGTTTATTACAGTTCTTATGAATTTTCTCATTTTGAGTTTGCAGCAGCAGCAGCAGCAAAAATGCTTCTAAATTTGATGTTAGCATAGATGAACCCTTGCAGTTCAGGTACATGTGTATGTGGCATATAGAGAAAACTGATAGTAAAATTGAGGTAGAAAGTTCTCCCACTAAGTTGCATCCAGTGTTTTTCCACAAGCTCTGGCAACAAATTGACACTGATCTCGGGAAGAGAAGCAGGAGTCAAGGCTCGTATTTTTCCTGAGGGGTGTGCAGACTGTGTGAAGTTCAAAGAGTTTCCTTAACCTTGAGCTATTTTTCTGAGCAAGGACAGCATGCCCCATTTGGGGATATAAAAGGCTGGCAAAAGCCATGTCTAACAGCTGCAGTTTGGGTACACTTGCATTTATAGAGTAAAACTGTAACAATCTTAACATTGTATCTTTTCCTTATATACATTTAATGTTGTATTTTGATTTCTGGTTTTTGAGGAGTCATAATTACTTTCTACTTTTTGTACTGAGATTTAATATAAACTACTCTGTCCCCTACCCCCAAGGGAGGAATATATCTAGAAAGGTGTTACAGGCAAGGTTGTTCAGGTTACTCAGAAACCAATTACATACTAGCTCAAGGGAAA